TTAGTTGAAACAAAACCTTGGTCTGGATTTGTACACTCTGGATCTGAACAGTCCACCTCTGTCTGTAAAGGCCTACTTCCCCAACACTGATTTTGGTGAAGAGTGCCTTCAATATGGAGATGATTTCTGACCTGTTTCACCAAACCTTAGCTCCTAAACTGCCTACGAGCAGCAGACCACAATCACTCAGGTGTGCAGCACAGAGGTAAAAGGTTCATCCCACTTCATCCCACTGGCCTCGTCTTCGGCTGAGATGAGAGAACGCCAATCCTTCGCAAACCTGTCGGCTGGTATACTGCCCCCACCCACTTTCTCCTCATGATCTGGGTCTCCACTCCCTGGCCTGGCCGTTTGATAGGTTAGTCCCACTGTGACTTTCCTCTATTATTTACCCCGATCCCAAGACACACCATATGTACATGTTTCTGGCTTTAACTAGATCATGCTGCACTTACTGATGTCTACAGGTCACCATTTTAGAGAAAGTGACTGTGCGCATCTACCACCGATGAGCCAAAACATTATGAAGACCTCCACAAGACGCACGGATAATGTTGACTTTCTCGTAAATACAGTGTCCGGGTCTGGGATATGAGACGGTTAGCCAACATTCGCTACTCGTAGTCGACGTGTCAAATGCAGAAGAAATGGGCAGGAATGAAGACCTGAGTGACTCTCACAATGGGCAAATCATTATGGCCAGAAAAATGGGTCAGAGCATCTTCGGAATGGCAAGGCTTGCGGGTTGCTGGTGGTTGGCCTTGGTGGGGGCCTAGTGAGAGCGGTCTAAGGTCATGACCGGAGAGTCAACATCATTCGCATCATGATACGGTGGTCATAATGTTTTACCCCATCAGTGTGTATTTAGATTTGTAAAAAAAAAAAATTAATTACAGACACACACAGTTAAGTATGAAGCTTAGGGATGGAGTGCAGGGTCAGGTCATCCATCTAGCATCCCCGGGGTGTTTCAGGGGTTAAGGGCTTTGCTCGAGGGCCTAACAGAGATGTGACTATTCTGCAAAAGCTGGGGCTCAAACTAGTAACCTTCTGATCTCAGGCACAGAGGCCTGACCTGCAGAGCCACACCCCTCCCCAGACTCGATATGGCCTTTCTCCTCTTCACTGGATAAGTCTGTCCCATTGCAGAGGCCCCTCTCACCTCCTAACAGCTTCCTTTCTGTCTCCTATTCCTTTATATTACAGCTGAGCCCTTATTTATATAGCTACCTACTATCATTATGACCCGTGAATTTGCATTTTGTGTTTTTTTTTCCAGGAGTTTGTCCCAGTGTAGCTTTAGCGGTACCTCAGAGAGCAGATATACATCCTGACAATCGAGAATATTTTGGTGTTCACACTTATTCCAACTATAGGACCAGAGTTTGCCACGTCCTGTTTAAACACTGCTGGAGCGAGACAGAAGATATAGGACTTCAAGAAGAATGAGGTCTTCATCACTGAAGTGCCTTCATCACCTTAATGTAAGGATGCTATTGTTACAAAAAAAAACTACAGCTCAAATTTTGTCAGGAATGAAATCGAGTCGTTTCAATCCAAAATTCACATTAATTAATAAACTTGTACTATTTGTAGCTTCTCAGACTATTTCTGACCCAAATGGCTGGTAAATGCTGTGTTCCCTGCTACACTTTTTGGATCAGTCCTAAAACCCCTGCACTCCAATAAGATGCCAACATTAATTCCCCTGTTAAAGTAGATGCACATATTTTTATTGCCGGTGGTGATTTAACCCAGCATATCATATGCATGAGCTAGATGTTTAGGTCAGCCCTGAATAATCAATCCCGATCAATGAGCCCTTTTAGAGCGTTACAGACTAAGGGCACTGTGAAGGTTAGATCTGCTCTTCCTTTTTCCATCCAGTGTTTAGCTTCTCTCCTATTGGCATTTTTTATTGACCTTCAAGTTGTTTAGCTCAGTTGTGACCTGTGATTATCATTGTACTGTCACCCCTGACTATTCCATTTAAACTTTAGTTAGTATATTCTACCAAACCCCAAGAAGATGCTAATCCTCTCCTCCCGACAGATTTCAGTCTCGCTGAATTTCATTCATTTTTCATTAGTTTGCTTCTTATTTTATTTAACAGAATCAAATCTCTCTGGGGACGCCTATGTTTTCTGTCCATTGTGAGACACCTAAGACTTTAATTGGGGGTCACATGATCTCATTCACAATCCCATCATAATGCTGGGCCTTGTAGGGTCCTTGTAGTGTTCACTAAAGAGAGTGAGTGTTCAAGGACAGAGATGATGGAGGTGATGGAGGTGACGGAGGTGACGGAGATGATGGAGGTGAGCCCAGCGAGCTCTTAGCAAGTTACAAGACCTATCATCTCTTTAATAATGATTTGAAGACTATTGATTCAAATATACATTCCACAAAATCTGTGGGTTTTCATGACTTTTACTAGAAGCAGCAGTTTTGGACAACGAAATCTCCGCAGCTAGGGTGTCCATGCGCTTGTCCAACGGCCGCTGACCCATATAATCAACAGACTTAAACAGAGCGTAGTACATGAAGATGGACTCTGCTCATGATGTATGCTTCACATGAAAACAGTACAGACGCTCCTCTACTTACGAATGAGATACGTTCCGAACAGCTGCTCGTAACTTAAAGTGTTCGTAAGTCATTATTCAGCATCATTTTAAGGGTATACGCAAGTACAAAGAACTAGGGTGCTGGGAGTATGCACGCTACGCTGCTGCGAGATGGGAGTAGTGGCCAGAAGTCATACTAGGCGGAACTGGAGCACAGAAAACAAAATTAATGTTGCAGACAGGAAATGGGAGCCCAATGAACACAATTTGGACTTGCAGTCCTCTTCGTTCGTATGTCTGAAAGTTCATAAGTTGAAAGTTCGTAAGTAGAGTCTGAGTGTCTGTACTGCCCCCAGAAATCAATAACTCTAGTAGGCCAAAACACCAACAACAAAGAGAGCTCATGCTTTCATGCTATCAGGTTACTGAATACAGACAGTAAGCAATCAGCCAGAGCGTTAGCTGGACGTCTCTTAGCAGTCGCAACCAGGTGGTCTGTGCTCAAGGCAGGCAGGGGCTTGCTAGCAGAAGGTGTTACCTGAACACTTCGTGTGTCCTCTGCTTCCCCTCTGCACAAGGCACTAACTGCTTTAGATGCCGAAAGAGCATGTGACTGCATGCAGTGGGATTATCTGTCCTGAGCACTGGGTGATTTTGGATCTGGCCAGCTCCAGTTCATGGATCAAGTTCTTGTACTTTAGCCCCCTTGTCCCCAGCTTCCATGAGCAATACGAGTTCATTCGGTCTCCAATTTGATAGGGAAAAGAGGCCGGGCTGCCCTCACTCCCCTCTGCTGTTTGCAGATGTTATTGAGCTTCAAGCTTCTGGGCTGAAGGAGATTTGAAATGGAGCATGGAGAGATTGGGGAGGCCCGACCCGCACGATCTCTATATACATGACCCCTGAATTTAATTAATGCTCAATACACATAAGGACTCATATTCTCACGGTCGATTCCTTCGGTGAAATATATGACTTCAAGCTCAACCTCAATGAAAGGGAACTTCTACTATTTCTAATAATTGGCCAATTCTACATTTCTAAAGGCACATTTCCAGTTGACTGATGGAACCTTCACCGCCCCACAAATTTAGACATCCCTTCTACTCATTCCTGCTTCAGGCTGTTCAAAAATTGCCCCCCCCCCCCCCGCCCCACCTGAGTTCTACAGACCTGACCAGGCGTACAACTTGTTTCTGCCAGTCAAATACTGGGTCAAATACTATGATTACCTGCGTTCTCCTGCCAGTAAGTCTCAGTACCAGCTACTGCACATCACACGACCTGCCCATATCAGAAGATAATTTCCTGAGAACTCCCTGAAGTACCTCAGCTTAGATTCTTGGACAGGATTAGAAATGCTCTTAATGATTCCGCAGACAGTGCTGTGAGACTTGGGGCCCATCTTCTAATTGTACCACAATACCAGTGCTTGGCTAACTTTTAAGGTGTGATCTCACCTCTCTCCATCTTTCCCTGCTTAATTACTTTTTTTTCTGAGACATATTCTTATTTTATGGCATCAGTTCAGCCTGTGTAAGTTCTTGGGATATTTTATGTTACTCTGTATCAGTGTTTCCCAACCCGGTCCATGGGAACCCTCAGATGGTCCACGTTTTTGCTCCCTCCCAGCTCTCTGCCAGACAGTACACATTTTCGCTTCCTCCCAGCTCCCTGCCAGACAGTACACATCTTTGCTCCCTCCCAGCACCCTGCCAGACAGTACATATTTTTGCTCCCTCCCAGCTCCCTGCCAGACAGTACACATTTTTGCTCCCTCCCAGCTCCCTGCCAGACAGTACACATTTTTGCTTCCTCCCATGGACTGGACTGTCTACAGGTCCCCGAGGACCAGATTGGGAAACACTGCTCCATGTAAGTTTCCTACGTTGTCATGCCTCCCCTGCTTTGTGCACCATGGTAAAATGAAAATAAGAATACATACTGTATGCCTGTATATAATTCTATTTATCTGTTGGTTTATTTTATTGTATCCCTGAATGCATCACAGCCATTAGTTGTTGTTGGTGTTGTTTTTAAACCTTGACTGAGGAAACCGTGCAGGAATTCCAATGTGCTTGTACGTCTGTGTCTGCGGAAGTGGCAAATACATTTTAGTTTCTATTCAAATCGGTTTTGAGATCTTTGGACTGAGCGAAGCTGCAACCGCAGGCGGCAAAGCCCCCTGCCTGTCTTCGCTGCGACTGTTCACCCTACAGCCTCTGCTCATCATCCAAACACTCCTCCGTTCATCAGCGAAGCCGCATTCCTGGGACAGCCCTCCGGAATGAAAGGATGGAGCATATGACAGGGAGTAACTGACTCAGTGGGCTGATCGATTCCACCCCCGCAGCTGTGGCACTCGATCTCGGAAGCTTTCTTCCCCGCTGACGATTCCGCGTAAGATTGCGAGGCGTCCCCCGAATGCCTCACCTATCTGCCAGTCCCAGGGCACCTTCAGCAGCTCCTTGTGCTCCATTATGGCTCTGGAATGGAAACACAGAATAATCAGTCACATTCTGGATTCCTCTTCGACACCTCAACCCTAGATGAGCGTTAGACTTAATGAGGACGACGAGATGGAAAGTAAGGTCGGACATGAGGTTTCTCAAAGTCAGGTTTGCAGACTGATAAAAACCGTGGCCAAAGAAGGGATGAAAATCCCGGCCTGGTCAGAGGGGAACGACCACGTGGTGTAGCTCCACATAGGTGATTACATCAGTGGCCACCAAAACATCGACAGTAGCTACTAGTTGGGCACAGGGAGTCAATAAGTAGCCAGCATAACACTTATTAGAAATCGAACGTATTTTTAAAAATATTTTGAGCATACAAAAGTATTTCATTTTCTCAACCATATATTGTCAGAATCGTTGGTGCCGCTGGTGCCCCTCCAGCGTTGCCACGGTTACAATCTCATCTACAGCCAGCATCCAAAAGTGCCTTCTCACCATCTCATCGAGTACGAGCCGATTTTTTTTTTAAATAAGCAAAGGGATGATGGTCGGAAGAGCCGGCAATTTGTCATTAGCGTCATCTTAAAGGAGAAGGGCTGAAGGGGAAAGGGGAAAGGGAGGAGCGATACGTGTCTTAAAGGCGAGGTTTCCAGTAAGCGTGTTTCACGGCGTTCTCTGACAGGTACGTCTGCCGAGTTGGGAACCATCTGGACACGCCGTACATGAGAACGGAGAGACCCCTTCGGGGGAAATGAGAGAGGTGTGGAGCCAGGATGCAGATGCCGCATGGGGAGACCTTGTATCGGACAACCGGCATAGGTGGCACTTGTGTGGGGTGGATGCGGGGCGACTGAGGTGAAGTCAAGGAGGAGAGACCATGGAGGGGGGTCACAGAGGCGGAGCCAACTGAGGAGGGACTACAGAGGCGGGGCCACAGAGGAGGGGCCATGGAGGCGGGGCCACAGAGGAGGAACCACAGAGGCGAGGCAATGGAGGCAGGATGATGGAGGCGGGGCCACAGAGGCACACTCACAGCTGGATGCCGCTGAAGAAAGAGCCAAAGAGGCCCATCATCCCCAGGAACTCCACGCGGCTCAAGTTCTTCACGATGAACTCCTCACACACATTGGAGATCCCGTACAGCGTGGCCCCCGCCAGCACCAGCAGGTCCCCCAGGAGCTTGTGGTCCCCTGAAGGGGTAGTGAGTCAGAGTCAGCAGGAAGGCAAGTGGAAGGGGGCCACAGTCACACACCCTAATAAAATGCTCACTAATAGCAAAGTTGATTAAACAGAAATTCAAATTTCTCACATGAGTGAGAGATAATTATAGAGGCGTGTAAACCGAAGATTCAAAGAGCTGAATGATGCTGATATTCCTTAAATGGGAGGGGGATTTATATCCACAAATGTCCCTCCCATTTGACTCTTGACCAAACTGAAAAAAATATAGGCACTGCATGGTGATAGCTAACTAGTACAACTAACAGGGTGATTACTACCATACTCACCATCTGACCACATGATTCTCCTCAATAGACACCAGTATATACACCATGCAGTAAGAATCCCAAAAGTGCTACAAGCTTACAAATGCTTTTACTGTATCAAGCACAAACTCAGCACCAATAATCTGAGACCAATTTAGAATGTCATTCTTCTGTTTTTTTTTTGCATAAATCAGCTTTCTATACACTTTTCCAAAAACTATTTTGAAGTCAAAAGACTTTCCTTTCTGAAGGAATGAAGGAGACGAGATTATAGTCTTTCCCCATAATCTGTTCCTTTTAAAAGAGCAGAGTGGGTTTTCTCTTATTGGATCAGGTAGAGCCCAAGGTAAATGCATTTGCTTCTTATCCATATTTAATATTATGCAAAAATCCAATTTGCGTGGATCAGGGGTGCCTTGTTACATGCGGGCAGATTCGACGTGACAGATGAAGGCGAGAGCAGCCGGATGCGAGCGACACGGATGGGTGGAACGGGCCGGACTGGGCGGGGGGAAGGACTCACCCAGGCCCTGCTGCCGGCCCACCAGTACGTCGGCGCCGACCATGCAGCCCATACCCAGCAGGCAGACGCCGACGCCCACGAAGTGCACCACCTTGTACCTGACGAGCAGGAAGAACCAGGAGAGCAGCAGCACCACAGGGATGACGAAGCAGTCCAGGAGCTGCAGAGGGGGGAGCGGGGCGGGGAAGAGCAAGACAATCAGCCAGGGGGCGGGGCCGAGGTCGGGTCGGGAACCAGCTCCATCAGCATCCCATTAAGGGATGATGACTCATAATCACCCGGTGACTTATTGGGAATGGGCAAGGGACTCAGTGCAGAGCATGTAAGGATGGAAGACACAGGACTGCCTCCACGGCGCTAATACAGCACAGACTGGGGGGGGCCTGCTGTTCGGGGTGGGGGTGGGGGGGTGCATTTGTGATGGAAACAGTGACGTCACTAACAATGGCTGACGTTAAAGTGGGAGCCATAAATAGCCAGTCCCCCATGGCTTTTTACGCACGTTCCTTCGATGACGTGTGGATATGCACTCCCAGCTGCCCATAATTACTATAAAACCAAAATACACCAGCAAGCCTACACAGGCAGACAGGCAGGCAACCCTACAGGGTTTCTGTCTGATATCGCCGTTCTCATGCATGTTGTTCTGGTTATTTCAGACGCGGCCCCAGAACGATGACAGATCCAGAAGAGCATTGAAACGCCAGTGTGCTCATAACAGAGTTAATCACAGAGTGTTAATCACAGAGTGTTAATCACAGTGTTTTTATTAGCATGTTTATGAAATTGCTAACACAAGGGCAATATGGTGAAGGAAAGAACTAGCAAAAAAACAAAGCCTATAAAATAAAATATTTAAAATATGTACAAATATTAATACACCGTTATAAGCACTTAATATGTTATGGACAGGAAATTACGCTCAGGTTCTCCATTGGGAGGGGGGCGGTTGGGTTTCTGAGCCCCTCCCACTTCCTCCCCAATTTCCTCCTTTACTCAAATTGCTATACGTCACCATTGGCCCCCCCCCAACACACGACACCCATGTCGACAGGAGGGGCGAGGATTAGCGTGCACCTCGACCCGATGTCAGCGCTGCCAGCAGCCCACTTCCTGTCACTCTATGGGCTGTAGGCAAGTGATGTAACACGTGTGGGGGGGTGGGGGGAGCATCGCTCGCTGCAATCCACCCACATCCCCGTAGGTGCCCGGTCAACTGTAAAAGTCGCTGCAGAACGATTCAAGGTGGACGGCTCCACCTAATGGGGAGGGGGGGGGGGGGGGGGGTAGTGCTGTCCTCTACACATACAGCTAATGACACATTGGAGATCAAACCTGGATCCTCTGTAAGGTGAGGCCAAGCCTTGTGTTTTCACTGTCATGGGTGGCTCCTGCAGCTATGGCCGCGCTTCATCCATTATGTCTGGGAATTCTTTCCTAGCCTGCTACTAAAAGGCATCCTTAAAGGGACGGTCATACTAGCGCAAAAACAAACATCTGTGTTCAGTTCCATTCGAGCCACGCAATGCAACAAGGAGAAACCTTAAATCCCGTTGCTTATCCAATCCGGTGCGGCATGGGCGGGGTCGACCTGTCAATTCCACCGAAATGCAATGGAGGAGGATATTTTATCTGTATTTCCATCATTATGAAAAGAAGGTCTTTATTATACACTAATAATGATGATAATAATAAACTGTGGGAGCATTTGTGCTGTTACGACAAATTAACCCTTTATACCGCTAATGTGTACTTGCGTACCAGTTACGTCAATCACTGTATATAACATTGCTGGCTAGCATGTTTCTCACATATCTTGTCATACGGTATTTTCAAAAGCAACATTATTAATTAGCTGACTGAAAATACCATGGTATATCCAAATACTGCAGTATCATCCGGTCATCTCTACTCAGTTCTACGAAGACACTGGATAGTTTTTCATGTTAGCGTGACCGGACCTAAACCTAGCCATGACTTTTTTGCCCAATATACTGGACTGACAAAAACACTCAAAAGCATGTCAAGGAATCTCACATTTTCTGAATAGCTAGCGAGGGTCGTCAAGGATCCTGGGAGATCACCTTACTTGTGTTTTGCACTGCACAAGCTGATACTAGACTGCGTGACATCACCGCCCAACAATGGCAAACGATTGGACCCGCCTGAGTTTAAAAAAAAAAAAAAAAACGGTGAAGCACCTGCTTTTGGGACGTGTCCGACGGAGGCCAGAACCCCAGCACGTTAATCAGAACAATGTCCACTTTGACAGAGAACACATGGAGGTGGTAGTGCTTAGACCCGATGGTTCTCCCGACTGCGATTCCTGGAGTAACGCCAGGCCTCGTCATCGTTCTCAGCAACTAATTATCTCAGCTTAATGGGAAAATCTTTTATAGCGTGCTTTACACACGGCTGCACGGATATTAATATTAACGAAGCATGGTCTGACTTCATTACAGTTCATACGGAAAAGCTAAGAAATGAGCAGAATGTCCAACCTCAAACTCTGGGGGGTTGGGGGGGGGGACACCAGATGGGTATAAGCTCTTACGTGTCTCGGGGGTCCGGCTTCCCCAAGGCATGTCCGCACACCACAAACTAGCCTTGATGGCTTTTGGAGGAACAAGCTGGATTTCACCAGTCCAGATGTATGATGGCAGATTGTAAGCTGTGTTACACAAAAGCAGCCACCAACTTTGCAAAACCTAATGAGGAAGATTGTGTCTGTCTTCAGCGTACCTGGCCTCCACTTGCGAAGTTACCTTTTTTGGCAGCAGAATACTTACCAGATCAATTGAGGTTAAGTAACAAGATTCCCACTCTGGGGATTTAATCCTTTTTGTTTCGTATCTATTCCCCGAACCACTACACCTACTTGCCCTATATTTCGTCTCCAAATTACGAACATCTGGTTCAGCAGGTGTTATTTAACTGCTCTATTTTCCTCCGATGCAAAATTAACAAGATTTGCAGACACCCCCGGTCTCTGTCCCACATTCTGCCTCGAAGGTCGCTTTGTAATACGGAGCCCAGTAGAGGAGTGAGCGGACATACCGCTGCGTCACTTCGATTTTCACGCCGCCGGGCCAGAAGCTGCCGAAGGCGGACAGAGAAAAACCCCGTGACTTGAGTCTCCTCTGGTCGCGGAAATGCTGGTCACTGACTGAGCGCTAACAATTTCCAGTCATACCATATTATTTAATAGGCATATGGACAAGACAGAGAGCTGATGCAATGTCATGGTTTATGAGGAAGAACAACGAGAGAAAGCTAAACAGTGCCTTCAGCTGTCCTCCGCGTTTGTGCTCAAAGTCTCAAGTGTGAGCTGGCGCACCTCTCGTTGTTGACTTGAGGCTGACATTTTTACTAGTTGAACGAAAGAGATAGTTTTGGGCAGAGCTCTGCACTAGGCGATTCTAGGATCTTTTAAGGTGGGGGGGCATAAGAGGGACCATAATTCATACAGAGAGGCTAACTTTATCATTTTCCAATGATATGCTTTGAAGGGGTGAGTGACAGGGCAGTCAGCACACCGAGGGCCAATCAGCTTTCAGCTGGCCCCTGTGGTTCCGCCCCCATATATTGTCTGGGATATCGCTACTCTGTCGTTTCTGTGAGCCCTGATCTGCAGCTGGTTTATTTATGGTGAGCCCGAGACCCACTTCTGTATCTCGCTTGGTTTCATATGGACAGTTCTACAGCACCCGGAACAAGCCTTAGGGTGCTGAAGTATTTTCACTTCAACACCTCTACAGACTCGGCACATGTCCTGACAGCACACTAGGGCCTCGTGTCCACACAGCCACTACGATCCCAAGCCCCCTTCCTATTTACCTCAGCGAGCCGCCGGGGAAGCGAACTCACAAGGTGCTCGTGGTCATGGCTCAGCCAATGTCACAATCCAGGTTAGAAACCAGGGGTTTGCTTAGTGGGTCACACTGCTCTGGGTATCATGAGTGCCTTGTTATTGTGGGAGGGGGACATCTCAGGAGGGTGAGTCTGGTTCCTTTCCTGTGTTGACTCATCCTGCCCATCGTTAAACTCGATGCATTCTCTTCTTTCCTGGCCCAGTAAACCTGTCGTGCTCCCAGAGCCCCTGCCGAGTCACAACCCCCAACCCTTGCACCTACATTCAATCTCTGTGTGGCTCACTGGGTTAGAAGGCTATGTTTATAATAAAGGCATGGGTGTACCTTGGGAGGTGTGCAGCTCAGCGAGTTAGTATGCTGTGCCTTTGATAGAAAGGGTGCTGGTTCAAATCCCAAAGTTGGTGGAGTGATTTCAGCTCATGTGAGTTTTACTTACACAAAAATATTGTGAAGGCAGAATGAAAAACGATTGGTTTAAAGAGACAACCAATCAGATTGTAGAGGAGGTGGGACCAAGACATCTGTTTGGTTGGTTCCCTCTCCTCTAGCCGCTTGGACCTACCTCCTCTACAATCTGACTGGTTGTCCCACTGAACCAATCATTTTTCGTCCTGCCCTCATTTTCGTGTAAGTAAAACTCCCATGAGCGTTATATCACCAGTGGGGTCCAGAGCAAGGCCCTTAATTCTTCCCACCCTTAATTGCTCCAGGGACGGTCTGAACCTACTCACTTGTATATCATTTTGGATAAAAGTGTCTGCTATATAAATGTAGTCACCTGGCTAAATGAGCTCTGTTTCCTTATTTGTTAGTCCCTGGGAACCTGGGCAGGGAAACCCCATTCCCCTGCTCTGTGTCAGGCCGTTTCTGGTAGGTTGGCTGTTACTGTATGTATCTCAGCTAGGGAAATGCTCACGAGGGAGACACCGATGCGGCTCGCTGCGTTGGCCGTACCCTCAAAGTTTGGGGCCCAGAGGACATGCGAGATCGATTTCCCCTCCCAAACGTATACGGGGGAGGCTAAAAACCGGCAGAGAGTCAGAGAAGATTAGAGGAACGAGAAGGGTAAAGGAGAAAAAAAATCAATCCATCGCTTGACGTGACCCTCAGGTAATCATGTACACCCTTGACCACGACCAACAAACACTCTGAAGAAAGTTCTCAGTGAGGCCGTCTATGTGATGATGCTGCACTAAGGTCCGCTGATTTAAAAGATGGATATTAATACAGTGTTACTTCAATCCACCATGAATGGGAATCGTACATTTCCATGAGTATTGCTGGGGGAACAGGTGGCACTTTAATAAATCATGCCCAATGCATACACACTGCCATGCTCATGCCTCCAGTAAAAAGAGCACAAGCCAGTGCCCAAGGCAGGAAAGGCACAAACTAGCATGTGCGAAGGGCCGTGCAGCCATCAGACTTACCTGTACACTGGTCAGCGTCGTGTACTGGTAGGCTTTGATCACCAGGTAGTTGGCTTCTATGTCTATTAATCCCAGAATCATATATTTCCACCATCGTCTCTTCAGTATTGCCAGCAAATTCTCCTCTCCTGCCAGGCAGATGGGGAAAGAAAGGTCTCCGATTAGTTCAAGGTACCATTTGGCTGCCATCTTTACTATTTAATTAAAAGAGATGATAATTTCCAGAACTCAAAACACAATGCATTACATAGACCAGCAATGTTTTCCCCAGTGTCAAGATTTTGACAATTAATCTGCTTATTTTTAACTGAGGAAATATTTTAATGAAGAAAAAAAAAAATGCTAATATTTTCCACAAGTCTAATGTACATGTAGAGTCAGTGTTAATAACAGTACTGAGCTTGCAACCAATGTGCTACAAAAAATTAAGTGATAAATGAGGCAAAAATATGTTTTGGTGATTTTCCAAGATGAACTAAAGCTGCTTGACGTCGGGTGCAGAGTGATGGGGCAAAAAAGTAGCTGTAGTAATACAGATGGAATTGGTCAACACAACCTTCAAGCAACAGTGGGTAAATCTCTCAGTCAGCGTGTGGCTTTGCGATGCCAGATAAATGGAAGATGGTACGATAATGCAGAAATTTCACTGAAATCTGTTCAGTTTTTTCACTAAGAACGAGTGCAGACTGTCGCATTTGCCCATAGCACTTTGTGGCAATTACTCTGGGAGTGGTGTTACATAACAATGAAATTTAATTAAAATTAACTGAATTGATTTCTTTTGGCTGCACAAAGCTTCCATTTAAGCATGCTTGCTGACAGAAATGACAAGTGTATACTCCTTAATCTACTAATCATTAACCAAATACTGCCTGGAAAATGTTAATATTGGTGTGCAAATCAACAGTCTTTCTCTCTTAAGAGACGCCATTAATTTAAGAGACTTAATTGAGACAACTGCGTAGGACGATGTAATCCACTTCGCCTACTTAGAATTATAACGATATACCACTGATGTCCATGAGAAAATATTGTTTGGCATTCTTAGGACCGCTAATGTAAGTATGTAAATATAATAATAATAAATATATTTAATAACTTCACCGCCCTCACATCTTGTAGGAACTGGAAAAATATCAACACGGAAGGACCACAGCGGCTAACATTAAAGCAAAAACCAGCTAAATGCATCACAAAATGTGGCACATTTTCCATGCCTGCAGAAGAAGAAGGTGTTCCTGTCTTTCCTATCCAAAGCCCACACTCTGGCATGGAGTAAATGTAAAAAAAAAAAAACAATTAACACCACGGTACGAACAGACTCCCTGGCCCCGTTTCCCTCAGACTCCAGATGTCAGCCATTCTGCGGGACCCTCTGTGTGATGTGACCACTTTGCAATACCAGTTCCCAGGCCAAACAAACTTTTTTTTTATGTGAAACTTTACTGTCCAGCTAGATACGACACACGAAACACCTCCACAGGTGAGAAGAGCCACAGAAGTCAGGCATTCTTCCAGGCGGCTCAGCATCAAGCAGAAATATTTATAGGAATGTATGATCTAAACATCTCCTGCAGCTACTGTATCTCAGCTGCTGTACACCTTTAATCTAATCCCACTCGCCGTGCACCCAGAGATGTTTCCACACAGCTTCTTAGCAGAGATATTGTACTGCACGCTGTTTGTATGGCGGCATGTTTGAAAATTACAGTGCTTGTTTCATGGTCGTCACCAGCTGCACATAAACATCAGACGTGACATTAATTAACATCTACAGACGACAGTCGGGATCAAGAAATGTTCCGTTAGCAATTAATGCAACACGATGATAACCACGGAGACGGAGGGAAATGCTGCGCCGAAGTACATAAATCCATAAATGAATGAACGGGCAGATTGATGCGACGCATCGCAGCTTGAATGTTGCACAGTATAATCGCGGGGCTTTTAATTCCGAAACTGAAGCATCATTTGGAGACCAGCCCTGATTGGTGCGAAGGGGGGGTACCAAGACCTGGAGCAACCCCCTGAACCTCAGACGTTTTTATGATGTGCTGGTGGGGGAGGTAGGAGGGGGGGGGGATGTTCCAACCTCTGTCATGTCCGTGGTAAGATAACGCTGTGGGTGTAATATAAGCATGGCCACCCCCACACAAACCCTGCATGTAACGACGTTCCACAGTCCAGGCCTCGGCGCAAATGACTAAAAAAGGCTCTCGTTATTTCTCTGAGGCTGCCTTGAGCTCCGCTTTGCCCAGAGACAACATCCAGGACGCCCCCAGAGACATGCAGGCACCGCTGAAGCTGTGGATCTCACGGCACTACAGCCAAACTGTCACTCATCCCGCTCCTACAATAGCAACAATGTTCTGTAGTTATGATCACTCTGAAAACAAAGCCCGAGCACACAGAAGATGTCGGAAAAGAATAGTGAAACTTTATCCACCCCCAAGGGGGAACTCCCTTCTCTGCTGACCCCATTGCGCTTTCCATGAGACACACAGGCACATATACAGGTGAGAGCAAGCTTGGGGGGGGGGGTCACTGCATAGGGCCAGGGAGCATACAGCACCCCAGGAGCTGGGGGTTAAGGGCCCAACAACAGCATCAATCAGCCAGCCCTGGGATTCAAACCAATGACCTTCTGATCATGAGTACAGAGCCCTAACCCCCCCCCCAGGCTACTAATGCTAAACATTTTAATGCCATTGTAAAGGTATTTTTTATCATGGTACTCCTGCTGTATTCCAAGTCCGCTGCATGCTTCTTCATGGAGGATGAGGAAGATGGATGTGTAACTTCTGTTGGACTGTTTAGCAGAACCAGTGTTTGAGGGGAAAAAAAGGCTGAAAAACAAGGCAGACAGTCGCTGTCTAGTCAGGAGGCACTGCCAACACAAGCGGCGCTCCCCCCCATCCATTCCCACCCACCTAATCGAACCCGGGGCCCCTCAGGCACGGTAACAACAGAGGGGTCACATCAGCTCTGCACTCCATGCCAGCAACTCCCCCTCTCCCCGCCTCGCTAATTAAGGCGCTCCAGAATCATCTTTCATCTGCAGTCGTGTGTTCGCATTTTTAACCGGGGGTGGGTGGCAGTAGTGGTGGTTTGGGGTCACTTCAAGGGACAGTAAAAAGCTACATCATGCAGAAATCGGCCCTGATCTGGAAGCCACTCGCTCTCCACCTGTCGTCAGACTGGGATGTACTGCTGAATGCAAAGTGCCTTATTTATTGTATTGGGAATGTTTGTCATCATGAACTGGGGGGTACTTTGTCCTCTGCTGAAAGCATCCTCTAATAAACTTTAATCGTCATTTAGATCCTGCACTGGGTAAGTGGCTGGAAAATGGATACAGGGATGGATGTTATTCATGCACAAGGTTCTTTTAGAGCAAATTTCGTGGTCTGCGATTGTTATGGAAGAGTGTTCTCCAACTGTGGGTAGCACTGTTGCCTCCGGCCTCCAGGGCTGAACGGGGGTTCGAATCCCACCTCCGCTCTTTGTGTGTGTGGGTTTTTCCCCAGGTACTCCGGTTTCCACCCCCAGACCAAAAAAAAGCAGGCAGCTGAATTTGCATCTCTAAATTGCCCAGTGTGTGAATGTGTGCTCTGTGCCTCCTGGAATAGGCTCCAGACTGACCCTATACTACTGAAGTGTTATGGACAGATACGTATAGATACATATAGAGGTGGATAGTTCAGGTCCAACAATCCAGACCAGGGATTTGTTTCAACCAACCAGCTGAGTACTTTGAGTCTGCGACTCTTGATACTGAACTGGTTGGTTGAAACAAAACCTTGGTCTGGATTTTTACTTTCTGGACCTTTCCACCTCTAGATACATATATAAAGAAACATACAAACAAAACACCCTTGTAGGCAGAGGCGCCCGAAAGCTAAAGCCAACTAAGCCGCTGCTTAGGGCCCAGCGACCACCAGGGCCCCCCCCCATCTGATCAGCCTGTCAGAATGGGAAGATGACAAATAACTTAATCATACTTTGCTTAGGGCCCCAAAAAAGGGTTGGGCCAGCTCTGCGTGTAGGTTAAAATATATATTATATATACTGGACACACAGCTCGTGGTCACGACTTAAGGAGCTGGGCGTGGCTTGGTTGCTAGGGAAACCGTGAGGGAGATGTTTTACCTGGAGAGAGGGGTTCGGGAGAGAGCTCCTGGCTTTGGATGCAAGCCAGCGAGATGAAGACGTAATGAGGAGCTTATTGCAGCTGTACGCCCACTCTGTGCGATTATATAATGAACTGTATCGATAATAGGAGGACTCCCGGGAAATCACGTCCCAGGGAAGCCTCCGTAGAAGGATCCAGAAACCTCAATCATCTCCTCAACACGATTAATCTAAAACAGCAGCTGTCTCCGTCATAAATGCAGATGGACATTAGGAAAGAGTGTGAAAACATCAGAACGGAGCCCAGAATGTGGAAAGGGGTGGAAATGCAGCTCAAAATGTCACGCTTAGTTTGTGATAAACTGGACTGCAGTGAGATTTTCCTGGAAAGCCTTTTCTGTGGCACTATGGAGATAATCTCTTTGCAGGTATAATCCCTCCAGAACGCTTTCTGAAAGGAGAGCAGATTTTTTTTTTTTGTCACTAACAGGACATTCAATGGGACAGCATCCATCCATTTTCAAAAATCACTTATCCAATTAGGTGGGCTGTGAGCTGGAGCCAATCCCAGCGAGCATATGCCATCAGGCGGGGTCGCCCCCCGACAGAGTCTCCAATGAGACACTCATGCGGACACGGCGCACGTATTTGCTCTCTGGGTCGCACACCGAGGGCAATTTAGAGTTGCCGACTCACAGCATGTCCTATGCTGTGAATATGGAGGAGATCCACCGCACAACAGAGAGGTAGAAACTGAGAATTGAGAAAAAAAACTGAAGACAGACTCAGACCTGCAGCCTCAGACCTGTGAGCAAGCCAATATATAATATAATGAATACCTTGATGTAGATTTTTTTAAGATTGTCAAAATATCAGTTGTTTAGGTATGGAAACTGGAACCTTGTCCATGCTACTGTAGCATCTGCAAGCATTACCCAGCCCCTGCCTCCAGGGGGCGATCACAGCGGCAATCACAACAATAAATTCCTCAATATTA